CCCCCCCAATATATGCTAAAAAAAGAAAGCCCCTTATGTTCTCAAAAAAAGCCTTCTTGTACTTTTCTAATAAAGTAATCTTCTATAAATTTCTATATTGTTTTTAGATATGGATGGATATGATGATAAGAATCAGGATTCCATCTTCCCTATCAAACGCTACACCAAGATCACTACAAAGGACCTCCCAGAACGTTTTGCAGTTGTCTCGCGCCTGAAGAAAGAGACGTTCTCTGTTGGAACGCGAGGGGAGACAATGAAGTCTGCTGTGATGCCTCAAGTGAAGGTCAGCATACCTGAGGGAGCCGTGTCTGCAGGAACAAAGATTACTATGCAGGTAAATTAATGCTATTAGAGAGTTTAAGATTTCCCGTTCACGGCAAACGTAAAACGTCGGCTAACCAGTGAAAAAATTCTTTTAAATTACTGAAAAGGAATCGCAAAAAAAAAAAATCCAAGTAGTAGATAGACAAAAGAATATTTGTGTGTGGTGAGAAAGTTTGCAAGAGATAAAGTAAAATACAGAGAAACGATGAAAACGTGGTCACGCTCGCCGTTTGCGGAAAAGAAAAAAAATCAATCTAAATAGTAAAACTCTAGAACTAACTGTAACTAGATGAAGAGACCATAAAAAAGCAGCCAGGCCAGGAGAAGTTAGATTTCACATGACACGTTTGTTTCTGACTTTTTAGAAACAGCCCTGACACTCGACTCTCAACAGCCTAGTGTCGGGTAAAGCTGAATAGATTATAAATCTACAGTGCTTTCCAACCTAGAATGAATGAGCGAGGGGGAATTGTGGCAATAGAAACCTTTAGGTTTACCGCTAGCTACCAGGGATCAAGCCCAGAAACACGCCCGCCAACACGGAGAAACACTCAGCATCAATGAAATTCAATATGGCGGCTCTTCCAGCAACAACTTCGTTATGACGCCTTTGCTAAACGTCGAAATTATCCAAGTCTGACACGTCATTTTATGATAATGCTCCCCAAATATAACCAATATTAAGTCTACTTGCAGAAAATGTTACGCCTAAGCTTTAGCATTCGTACTTATAAGTGAAAAGAATAAAGTGCCTGTTGACTACTTCATCTCAGTTCACTGGTCTTAGGCTCAGGTCAAGCGTCGAACTTCACATGAGCCCAACCTAATTGAAACAATGGATAACAATGCAGTCTTCTTTGGTGTCATTAGGTTCGGCTCATGTGAAGTTCGACGTTTGATATCATGAGCCTTACCAACTTGTTGGGAGGAGACATTATCAGTGATTAATTTTCTTCCTTTTGTTGTCTTCAGGTGCAACCTGTGGATGAGAATTTCAATAACCTAGAGGAGTGGGTGACGGTCAGTCCAGTGGTATCCCTGGAACCAAGCAATATAACCTTTAATAAACCAGTGTCCGTAGCTATCCCGTGTCCTGTCTACGCAGGCGCTGGAAATGTTGATATCCAACCATCTCTACGACTACTGTGCTGCTTCCCTAAAGATATCGATGGCGAGCCGAAAACCCCGTCATACCAGTGGCAAGATATCACTGATAGTACGCCTCTAACAACTGCTGGGGACAGTGCTACTTTCACTATCAATAAACCAGCAAGGTTAGATAAACTTTAATTCTTYGATAACCAAATCAACCAGTTAAAAGCCATAATATGTCGAAAATATGGAAAACGCGCGCGCGTGCTGTGTGCAGTTATAAAGCTCTCGGRTTGCTTCTCCTAASACTTCWCTCGTGTTCTWCGACATCCCAATTGCTTTATAWCTGYACAKAGCACAGCAAGTAAGTTTTTTAAATKCCTTTTATGAAATACAAATTRCAATAACCGTTAYTTTGSAMARGAATGRCGCCACCGTAAGTGCACGCAGTCCCAACCAATCACAACGCGAAATTTATAACAGTTTTTTTTTATAATTTGCTTTATAGATACTGGCTCGTTGAAACAAGAAACCCTGACAATGTCGTCACCGATGCGCGCTTGATTTACCGCAAGCTGGCCGCTGTCCCTTACCTTGCAAAGTTCGTCGTGTTCGCTAAGTTCTCTGCTGATGGCAAGGAAGCGCGTCTACGCATCTTCTGCGTCACTGATGACAAGGTCGACAAAACTCTTGAAGGACAGACTGGATTTGCTGAAGTTGCAAGAAGTCGTGATGTTGAGGTTAGTCTCTTGATGCAATGGCAATAAAACTTTGTATTATATATATTTTGGATTCCCATTAAAAATTTCATTACGAAGTCATAGATTGATTTACAGAATAGGATATTGAGAAAACCCGAGCCTCTCAATTTGATTACTTTGTACCTGTGAAGGATATCCATTTTTTTATTCAAACTTTATGCATCGACAAATATCGTTTAAAAAAATGAAGAAGAGGAGGAGAGAAATTCCATTCAACTAATTCATTGCAGTGTCTGGTCTGGGGGGGGGGGGGGGGGGGGGGGGGGGGGGGGACTAATGGACGCCCTTGCAACCTTTTCACGTCCAGGAATGCCTCGGAAATTCATACATTTACAACTGACAATATTTCTGGGAGCATTCCCAACTGTTTTAGGAACAAAACCCTGCTGAACATATTAGATAAGCAATTTAATATTTGATGTTTGTTATTAATTTTAATATTAAAGGTCTATGAAGGTCGCCCTATCCACATCCGTTGTCTTGGCAATCTTGCTCCAGTAAACCGTGAGCCAATGCACTTGAATTTCTTCGCCTTCCGTGAGAATCGTCTGTCCGTCGCCGTGAGTGCCGTGGACCCTGAACAACCTATGAACTGCAGACTGGCATTCCTTAAAGAACCCAAGAAGGACAGACAAGGAAATATACAAACTATTTGCAACCTGAATATCAACCTGTCTGAAAAGGTATGTTTATCGTCAAATCATAGATTTTGTGTGTGTGAGGCTAAAATATAGACCCCTCTCACTGAGTCCCCAGAGGAATTGTTCTGGGGGACAAAAGAATGAATTTTTTTTCGCATAAGAAAGGACGCCCTATTGTTTTGTCTCCCAGAACAATTCCTCTTGGAATCCAATGCAAGGGGTCTATACTCTTGATGAACTGCTTGGACCTAGATGGACCGTCCCTTTCTCTTATTACCGCGAAGAAACGGCATGCACGCACTGCCTCGAATGCTCATTAGGGACTGTCTGGCTGTCCGTAAATACGCGTATCTGAGTAAAACCTACTTATTAACTCTGACTGGTTAATGCAAATTACTGCTCAAATTTTTAACATCTTAATTAATCTTTGTTCAACAGGATCTCAAGAAAGATAGTGGATTAAGAAGACTACCAGGTGGGGCTGATTAACAATTTAGAATCTTGTATCACAATCCCATAAATCCGTCATTTTTCCTTTTCTTCCTACCTTCTTACAGAAAGAACATATATAGGACGAATAAGTTGTAATATGTCAAAGATTTAAGTATCGATAACACTCATTTTTGTTCTATCATCAGACTCTCTGCTCTCTCTAGTGGCCAYTGAAGTAGCAAATGACTGGAAAGWTTTAGGGCGGGAACTAGGATTCAACGATGATGAACTCGATGACATTGCAGACAGCAAGTAAGTTCTAATAGGAGTTCAAATAGGCATTGTGCCCTTGGCGATATGCTCTATTTTTGCCCTATGTTGGATTTACCACGATCTGCGCCGTCGGTTATTACCCATGTTTGTTCGTATTCTTTGTTTGCACATGACATTAATGGCCGTGTTAAGAGAATTCGACAAAAGTTTCGATGTCTTTTTTGTTATATTCTCCAACATGGCGGGCATGGCTTTTGCTAGTTTACTCCCTTGAAAATAATTGCAAACAAAAAGTATCTTGCGTGAGCTTGCGCCGTGCTCGTGTACGCCTTTGGTAAGTTAGGTTTCGAGGTGATCCTGATTCGCTATTGCTATTTAATTTCTTTATTCTGATCTTTTTTTTTTTTATTTTTTATTTTTTTAGAATTCTTATTAGAGAAACAATATGAATGATTTCAACTAAAACAACTTCTTTTTTTTTTCTTTTTCTTTTTTCTTTTTAATTTTCCAGCTCCAATGAACCTGACAAGTGTGCCGAAGAGGTTCTAAAAACATGGCGTGACTCCAAAGAACCAGAACCCGATATGCCCAAGCTCGAAAACGCCCTCAAGAACATCAATCGCGACGACGTTGATTTCAAGCAACTGGCGTACAGCAGTTACTCCAAGGGTCCAGTAACAATCACCGAGACTACCATCACACGGACAGTGCCAGATGAAAGAAATGGTGATGTCCAGAACACCCACGAAAGGATCTCCGATTACTTGAACGATGACGATGAAGAAATGTCTGATGCTGCTCATACTGAAGTACGTACGGTAACAGTGACAGATGATGATGGGGGTGCCGTTACACGGACRACCACTACAACCGTAACACGAGATGGCGAGACCGTAGAGACAACGACCGACACTCGAGAGGGGGATGAAAATGAYCCAGACAAAGAGAAACTCATCAAAGAAATGTTCGCTGGAGAAAAAGGAGTCATGGATTTCTTCAACGACGATGACAAGAAACCAGAAACGGATGAGACCGAGATTTAACCGTACGTTTTTGCCTCTCGTCAGTTTTTAWTAGGATAGAGTTCGCCATGAATGGCACAAGCCCGGTCAATGTATTTCTAAGTTAATTAAGAATCCAAGAGTGAAAGGCTAAGGTTTGAATTAACTAAATGAGCAGGGCAAAAAGGAACTTGAACTTCTAGTCGGTGTTATGTCTTAATAATTTTAACAATTCTATTTAAAGTAAATTTTGAAAACGTGTGCTCCAGGAGTTAATATAAGCAATGATAAATAAGGCAGGAATTCATTTTTCTTTTAATCTTTTYTTCAACTATTAGGCGTAGCCTTTCGTTTCTAGCGTTTGCATTTTGATTGGTTAGTAGTGCAGTGCTTCTTATGACGCTTGTTGAAATTGTCAAAAACCTAAGACAAATATATTGAATCACTTGGTATCGATAGGACACACTGTCAATTGAATACTGTCTGGAAGTTAGTTTGCTCCRTATTTGAAGCTGTTATCTGAAATGCTGATAAATGCCAGGCACAGGGACGGTCCAATAATTTTGAAACGAGTTTCAAAATGGGCAATTTATGTTCCAAGTAGCATCCTTTAGGAAAAATCCCTCACCGGAAGGCGGAAGGCTTGTCGAGCACCCGTCTTCCCGGAATTCGCCCCTGAAGTTGAGCAGTTGAACCAATCAAAATGCTGAATTCCTTATAACTAATAATGCTCTGTAAGAGTAATGTACTAGTTATCTCAATATAGATACCCATGTGATGATGCTTTAAACATTTTTCATATCCAATATAGTTCGAATGCAAGAACTTTTGGCATAGTAAATGATAAATCCTAATAAAGGTCGAATTCTAAGTTAAAAACTCATACTTCTGCATTTGTGACTAGGAATGCTTTTTGAACCCTTTGGTACTCCAGTTTTCCTACATTCTTTTTTTACTAACTTAAGGCCGGAGTGCTTAACTAATTACTAGTGTACTAGAGTGCATACCATATATCCATGAAAAAGTAACTAACAACATTGTACAGATAAGTGCAAAGTTTTGTAGGTATGTCCTACTGAGGTTTACTGATCTTACTACATTTTTGGCAAATTTGTGCAATTTCTTACAAAATTTTTCACGGATGTATAATAGTATCAGCACTCTATTAGGAATGTCAATCAAATTGAACTTAAAAGAACCAGTGGAGTTGATCTTTATTAGTTTAAACGTAATAAAAGAAACCCTAGTGGATGTGAAAGCAAATTGCGTAGTGCCTAGGAAATAGAATGTACCTTTTAAAGTAAGGTGATGATTGTAAAACTAAACTGTACTACAAGTAAACTGGCATTTATCATTGGTTTGTCAATGACTTAATCAATCTATTAATCACTCTAGTATTTGCTTAGGGTTATGAAGGGAGTTAGGGGGATCCTGAAATATATAGTAATTATTGACTGGAAAATTGTTTAACAAAATATGTCTTAAATCACAATTTTTCGACTCTTTGCGTTGCTTGTGGAAACGAACGGCCTAAATCTATTGGGAGCGTGCGAGTCATAGTGAGGCCAGTAAGCTCCAACTAATGTCTCCATGTAATGCGGMYTTCSACACGGATTTTGTTCCAYAGAGTTGTGCCTCGTAAACGAAAATTTTCAAATTTTCTTAAGATAGCWTTGAGACATTATTATTTATCTTATACATAATTACTGCTAGTTGTCTAATCATTCTATCTTCCAACTTTTCCCAACCCAGCTCATGCAATAAATCACTAGAGCAACAAGTATTGATCAGCAATATTTTGCARATTAATGAATATGATATTGATGCTAGATGTTCAGTATCTAACTCATGACGCGCTGCAGTAAACCAATCTGTCCAATATCTGAATAATCAGTTCGATAAAATACTTGCGCCGTTCCCATTGTCTTTCCACTGCACAAGAAAGGTCATTGCTCGAGTCATTCAGATATTCCTTGTATTCAAATGAAAATATATCAGTGTTATCCAAAAAGTTCAAGAAATACGGTTTCAAGTTACGGCAGCATGTTCTTGCGTGTAAGTAGCGGAAAATCTTGATGGTTAATTGCTTGACAAAGAAGTCATCACTTGATGCGCATTGATTGTGAGCACTTTCCAGAAGATCTGGCTGCTCATCCAAGACGTACAAAAGACTTGTCTTGAGCATGTAGCTTGATATTTCATCTCTTGCTCCCAATACCGCCATGCATTCGTTTTCATAACGTCTTCGTGGACATATATCGGGCTGAAGCATGATCTTCGCCAGAGCGTAGCTTCGTTTCACCGCTTGTGGAAAAGTACGAAACAGAGCAACTTCAGCAGGAGCCACAGAAATACGCAGGTAAGTGTCTTCGTTGTCAAGGAAATCACTGAGATTCGGGTTTTGCAAAAGAAGTGCACACCCTGCTAGCTTAATATCTTCTGWCAGGAGACTGAGTGAGCCAGTATCAATCAGAGATGGCCAATATGGAGGGACGTATATAGCAGGAACTATATCAACGCTAATTTCTAAGTTTTTGTACYTGCAGCCTACCCATCTTACCCCGGCATTGATTGTTGGCTTATCTGCTAGGTCCAATATTTCTTCAAAATAAAGCCTAGTATCTTTCCATGGTTCTCCCTGATGCCAAGCTATTTCGAATAGAGTTTTCATTTTATTCCTCACAAGTRCACAATCAAGCATTCTGTTGCCTTCGAAAAATTCTGAATACAATTCATAGCGTTCATTGTCTTTGAGCCTTGCCTGACAGTATCCGTCGATTTGCCGATGGTTGTCGTGAACAGCGCATAACGATGAAAAATTATCCAAATAGCAGACAAAATCGAATTCATGTGGCTGCGAAATTAAAGTGCCTTCGCTGCTGCTACCAGTGTTAAATAAAGTTGCAGCAAATCGCCAATCGAGGTTCTTAATGATGGCTAACATCTTCTCAAGTAGACATATAACTGCTTGTTTTATTTGAAGTGCTTCATCCTCCCACTTGACCATGCCATACACCGATGAATCTAAAAGTTCGGAAACGCTAATTTTTGCATTCTCTTTGTCAATTGCTTTTGAAGTAAACGCTTCTTCACTGGTTGGATCAGATACATCAACGTCGTCCTCGCTACTATCGGTATCGGAGAGCGACYTCCGATTAAATTCGTTTTCTATGGCTTCGGCAAGAKTGGGAAACAAAGGACATGCAGGTCGGTAATAACGGTCCCGATCTTTGACATCGGATGGTCGACGACCCATTGCATCTTCGTGAAACGGATCTGMACCTTTCGTTTCTAGGAATTCTGAAACAGTCGKAGAGCAATACCAGGCGGCAAAATGTAATGGTGTTGATCCGAAGTCATCCCTAATGTTAACATCAGCTCCATATTGGAGAAGTAAGTCTACGTCTTCAGTTCGATCGGAAAATACCCAATGATGCAGAGGAGTAAGTCCATTACTGTCTTTCGCATTAACCAGGAAATCACCTTTGTTTTCAAGGAGAATCCTCAAAATGTCGACATTGTAACCCGAGTGCAAAACTGACTCTGCCTTTACATTAGTTAGATTTAATTCGGCGCCGTTCTTTAGCAACAAATCCGCTTTTTCTGCTGAATTTATACTTATTGCCTCAAAAAGCAATGACCGACCAAGGTTGTTTTGTAAGTTCACATCTGCTCCGTACTCAATGTATTTCTCTATAACTTGTATACTGTGATGTTTGACCGCAAATGCAAACGGAGTATCTCCCCGGAGATTTTTGACGTTTAGAAGAAGTGACGGTTGGATGTGGCAATCAACGATTGTTTCAAGTACATCCAAGAAATACTTATCGAAGACGGGGACGTCAGGTAAACATGTCAAGTAATGCAGGAATGAATTCCCTTGTCGATCCTGCAGGAAAGGGTTAGCTCCTGCTTTGAGCATAAAAATACTACATCCAACCAGATTTGACAAAGCAGAGTACATCAATGCAGTCAACCCTTCCTTATTCTGCGCATCAATATTAATACTTCGTTCCATCAATAAGTGTATTCCTTTAAGCAAATTTTTGCTTGCATTTTCATCGGGAGATGTTATATTTAACAATTCGTGAGCAGCACTATTTCCATTGCAATCACAGAGATGTACGTTCAACTGCGGTTCCTTACAGAGCCTTTCAAATTTGCTCATCTCTCCATACTGAGCAGCGAAGTGCAATGGGGTCTCTTGCATGTTGGTTTGTTGATTCACACTAGCACCAGCAACCAGCAAATCTTCAAAAATATCCATTGCTACAGTATTAATCGTGGCAAGATGAAGCGGTGTTTGTCCTTCGTCATCGCCCCTATTTACCTCACAATTATAACGAAGTAAGAGCCGACAAGCATCTTTATTGTTGTCTTGCACTGCCATGTGGATTGGCCAAGGGTAGTCACCAATCATGCCATTTATTCCTACGCCGCCATTTTTAACTAATGTCGCGGCAGTCTTAACATCATTCGATTTRATAGCTATTGACAATGGGTTATCCTTTAACAAATAAGGAAGAATTACGGRGAATTTGTCCCAGTCATCTTCAACACACCCAGCGGAGTTCGTGCACACAGATTCTGSCATTGTCAGCCTTGCTTATTCATGCCAACATCTATCCTGTTGTTGTTTCTTCCGTCTAGAAAAGATAAAGTACAAGGGAAATTCTATTATATTTTTCAATTTCATACTAAAGTTTTCACTTTCAGAAAAGTGTCACGGACGTTTGAATGTTGCACATCAGTTCTAGCTTTGCCCTCGAAATTTAAATAGGCAAGTGGCCCAGAAACTCAACTACACCGAACTGATTGGAGCTAAATTAAATTCATTTTCTAAATATAAGGTATTATATTGAAGTAAGCATGGTATCTTGTTCCTGATTCGAAAAATCGCAATGAAATTATCGAAYTGTTAAATAAATAAAATCACTTTTATTTAAGTGTCTRGTYGYTCYAGCGCTTTCGCACTAATTGTTGACACTTCTCGCTCACACRCACTACCACTACATTAAATRTACTATGCACACACAACACTCAACCCACATGTGRAAATAAAATGTGTCTCTAAATATGTTTTAGTCTTCAGTTCTTTAGGATCAGAAGCCTGAGCATTCARTCTGTTGATGACGGATGCCGAAGCGCACCCCTGCAGATTGAGCAGTTTTATTCTTATATWATATGTACTTACGTACGAGTAAATWAACATCACTGTATCTTTGGGAATTCGTGTAAGGTATGACTTATGTCTCGGACAGGGAATTTGCCCCGGGAAATTAAGACCAACGACTCACTCATAGCGAAAGTAGGAAACGTGTCAATCTGCTTTCTACGTACTAGAGGTACCCACAATACTGCTTCCTGCATTACCAGGACTCCTCGGGTTTCTGTATAAGTCTAACGCACAGCTGCTATTTTGGGAGGAGTTGGGGATGAAGGTGCAGAAGTATATCTATAGTATAAAAGTAAACTATTATATATTATGCTTATTTTTATAATGCCTGAGAATTTTGCTTTCCTTAACATAATATTACCTAAGTAAAATGGAAATCCATGTTGGGCTACCTTTGTATAAATAATGATTCCGCTGACAATTCTTTTGAAGGCTCATACAAAGTTGCAAAATATAAATACTCGCACATGTGTCAGAAAAGACTGAAGGTTTAAATAATTTGAATTAATTTTCAGGGGAAAAATGGAAAGAAATAGAAGGAAACGACCATTGCCTGTCAGGCTCAATAGCGAAGAACAGCAAAACCTGGCTTGGAGTATGACAGATTTGATGCAAAACAATGAATTTGCAATGCCAAGCACTTCGTTTCAAGCGCCAAGTTCATCGAGTCTGGAACATTTTACAGATGAAATCAAAGTAAAGCATATACCAAAGAAAAGGCAAAGATTTGTGGCTAAAAGGRAATCGAACTGTAATGAAATTGTTGAATTAAAGTTACAAAGCATTAYGCCTGAATGTTGGCACTGCCATATTGGATCCTTTACGGTACACTTACAGGATTTACAAGATGGCCACTCTCCAAGTACCTTGGTTTCAGATGGTAACAAAGCCWTTCCTATACCCTGTGCAAATAGGGCTGAGGTCAAAGTCACTCTAGACATGGAAAGTATCATTGATAATGAAGTGGGYAATGATTTTATAACACATGGGAGCACCTCAGCAGAAGGTTGCYTTCCCAATTCTCTAAAAACATTATCATTGAAAAGTTTCACAAGTGTCCCCTCTGATACTCTCTTGACTCTTGAAAACCTACAGAAGAAAGGGCTAGTGTCATTTGTAATAAATCCAAAGATGTCAGTTTTTGATGATAGCTGGGACATCAAAGTATGTCTCTGTGAGAAAGCCTTGTCGAAAATGAAGTTTGCCAGTGAAGATGTTATGATCAGAAGCAACRACAAATTGATACARAACTTAATGGARTTCTTTTTCAAAGGTATATCTGATRAAAGGAATGAGAGATTCRCATACTGGAGTAAAGAAACAGAGTTTACCACTCTTTATGAAACTGTAATGAGACRAAGAGAAGAAAAGGGAAAAATGAAAAGTGAAAAAATAAAGACTTTTGTTGCTGGGAACAAAACTGGTGATGAATTTTGCAAACCTGGTAAAGCTTGTACCTCTGAAATGAAGATGAATGGCCAAATACCAACAAGGATTCATGAAGATTTTGAAGCAAATTTCACTAATTATAATGAAGGAAATGTTTATTGCAAATACAATAATAAAATTTTGGATAGTGAAATACAATGTGAGCAAAAAGCCATCATTACGGAAGAGGAGCATGTACTACCATCAATGGAAGTACAACCARCATGTTATGAACATGAGGTTACAGGGTTTATAAATTCAAAGCTGTTGTGTGACTTTCAACATGAGCATTTAAATCCAACATTAAGGCAGTATCAGAGAARAGCTGTACAGTGGATGATAGGCAAGGAGAATAAAAGTATTTCAAGGAAGACTGTTGAAGGTAATATTTATAGTTTTATTTCCAGTTTTTAGGAACCCTTAAGAATATTGTTTGTCTGAATTTTGGCTGTTTGAACTGGCATTGTTTTCTTAGTACAGTATCTGCCTGCAGCCTGGTATCCTGAGGTCATCCACACACATGCAAGGGATATTAGATTGTGAAACCAGTGGAAAATCAAGAGCGGGAAAAAAAATTTATTGATGGAGGGAGGAGGGAGAATTATCTTACCTTCTCTTCCCTCCTCCCTAGACCCTCTCCCCTTCCTCCTTCCCAGCCCCTCTCCCCTTCCTCCTTCCCAGTCCCTCTTCCCTTCCTACTTCCCAGTCCCTCTCCCCTTCCTCCTTCCCAGTCCCCCTCCCCTTCCTCCTTCCTAGTCCCCCTCCCCTTCCTCCTCACTTCCTGTCTCCCCAGAGTGCCACTATGGAGGCTAAGATAAAAAAGGGGCTTCCACAAGTGGCTATATTTAGGAGGCTCAAAATGGTTTTCTGGGGCATGCCCGGGCTCACAGCTTACTGTATGAARACAAGTTACAAATACGTGGAATTAAACAAATTGTTAGACTTTCCAAAAAGCCTAACATTATCATCATCAGCCATGAGCATGCATGAGCTCAAGAAAACCATTTCGAGGCTGCCTCAAGGTATGGTCAAAGTTTGGGGGGTCGTGCTATAAWAAATGGTGGACTCTTTTAACTATGGGCAAAACATTGATATTTCTTTCAAATTACAGAAAATGATCTTCATGTTCTCTGGAGAAGTTGTGTGACACTGGACAATAAAGTGATCTTCTTCAACCCATACAATGGAAGGTAAGTCAAAATACACATATATAAACAAAATATTCTGTGAACTCAAACATTTTCAATGCCCTTTTGTGAAATTGGATTTCCTAGTTCTTTTCAATCAAAATGGTTTAATCTTCTGGGCTTGGTTGTATGAAGAGTGGATATGCTATCCGATGAATAATTGTTTTCTAGTGGATAAATCCCTTGCAGCATTGACTAGTCCACTGGATAAGGATTTATCCATTGGATAGCAATATCCACCCTTCTTACAACTGGACCCTGAACCAAGCACCAAATCAATAACAAAACAGAAGACCTGCCAACATGTCACCTTGAAAGCCAGTTTTTTTTGTTTGTATTAAAGAGCTTGTAAAGTAACACCAATACAAAATCGATATCTCTAATGTTATAACATTTTATAAATGTACCTGTAGGCTAACCACTGAACATTTCAATTCTCCTGCACTACCCCCTGGAGGGATTCTTGCTGATGAAATGGGCCTGGGGAAGACTGTAGAAGTCTTAGCATGTATCTTGAATAATCCCATGCCTGGTTGTGAGATGCCAAAGAGTGGCGAGGATGAAAAGACTGTCGCTGAGTCTAAGGTCGTTCCTGTATCGAGATTAGAGCAAGCACTGGAATCTAAGTCAAAAATGCCTTCAAGAGGGAACTTATTTAATCCATCTGACTTATCTGAAAGAATTTCTACGAAAGCAGAAACACTGTCCAAGGCGTGTGAACAAATTTTACCCCCTTTAATGTCATCATGCTCATATGCATCATGCACACCAGAATTACCTTCTACATCAGTATCTTCAGTATCTCCATGTATATCAGCAGGACCATCAGTTGCAGCAGCTCCACCATCTGTTATGTCATCCAAGCTCCCTGAAACAACACCTGCATCAATGGTACCATCAGATACGACATCAATATTACCTGCTACACCATTTACACAGTTAGTACTTTCATCCCAAGAATCAATGGCACCATCAATATTTCCTTCCACAACAACAACAACAGCATCTACGCAGTCAGTGCTTTCATCCCAAGAGTCAGTACCTTCTACATCAATGGCACCATCAGATACGACAATATTACCTTTCACACCATCAGCAACACCATCAGCAACACAATCTACAGAGTTAGTACTTTCGTCTCAAGAGCCAATACCTTCTACATCAATAACACCATCAGATACGAAATCAATATTACCTTCCACACTATCAGCAACACCATCAGCAACACAATCTACAGAGTTAGTACTTTCGTCTCAAGAGCCAATACCTTCTACATC